TTTTCTCCTGGCTTTCTTGACACAACAGTCTTTGACCTCTCTTTTCCTTCATCTCCTTTGTTGACTCATCTTTCATTTAATCTTTAAATATTGGAGTTCCTTAAGGCTGTGTCCTGGCACCTTCCCCTTCTCCCACTCAACAAGCAAGCTCTTCAAGACGCATGGCCTTAATTATCCTACATACGCAGATGACTTTTAGATTTACATCTCCAACGCAGACCTCTCTCCTGAGCTTCACACTTCCACATACAGCCACCTATTTGTGTTTCCCTGGGGGAGTTTTTGAATATAGCAGGCTCAAAATTCCCATTGTTACCTTCCTAAGAATAGCACTCCCATCCGTGCACTAGCCTAATTAGAAACTGGGGAGTTATAGTTGACACACCTATCTCTTCCTTATTATCATATCCAGTTGGTCATCCTTCTGACTCTTCCTTTTAAATGTTTCTCTCAATATCAACTTTTCTGCATCTCTACTGCCACACAGTTATCACCTGACTACCACCATAGCAGACCCATCACCCTACATGCACTTAATGCCTCCAGAATAATTAATTCTACACTGCAGGTGGAGTGCTTTTTGATGATTCATTCATTCACTTATTCATCAAAAAATTTTATTCAGCCCTTACTATGTGCTCACTTCTTAGAGGTTGATGATAAATGTGACCAAAACCAACATGTTCCTGCTCTCCTAGAATTCTACAAAGAGTATGTTTGGGGGATCTAACTTAATTGGGTGGGAGTGGTATAGAAAAAGAAAATCCTCTTTCCTCTGCTCTCATGCCAAAATCAACACAAGAGACTTCTATGACCTACAAAGTTAGGAACTTCTCCTCACCAACAAGCAAGCAAGAACTTCTGGGTGTCCTCTTCTCCAACTCAGTTCTGTTACAGTCTACCCAGAGATACTGTCAGATCCCACAGGATGAGGGCTTAGTCCCTGAGGATGTAGCCACACACCTTTTAAGTGCCAATTACAAGCTGCAGGTTGTTTCACCTGTGCTTTGGACCAACTATAACTCCCCAGCTATAAATCAGCATTCCCTCAACCCTCTTCTCAAGTTTGACTAATTTGCTTAAGTAGCTTATAGAACCCAGGGAAACACTCTTATGTTTGCCAGTTTACTATAAATGTTACAAAGGATACAGATAAAGACATGCATTGGGTAAGAGATAGGAGAGAGGGGCACATGCTCTCTATGGACCAACAATTTCCACATGTTCAGTTATCTGGAAGCTCTTCAAACCCTATCCTTTTGGATTTTAATGAACATTTCATTGCATATCTAATGCTAATAGACTTGGTGGGGAAACCCAGAAAGGCCTGTCTGTTCAGAGTCTCCCTGGTCTCTCTGTATAGCATTCCTACCTCCTGGGTATAGGACAATATCCCTTCTGAAATGGGGAGGGGAGGCTTATCATTTACTATCTTATCAGATAAGATATTTCAAAGAAAGGTGATAAAATTAGAGTTTCTATGACTTGTCTTGGGGGAGAGAAGAGCACAGCATGCCAGTGAACATTAAAGGCAAAGTCCAGAGGGAAGCAAGCCAGGCCCATTTGAAGATCTGCAAGTAAAGAAGCAATGTGGGATCAAGATGAAGCCACAGAGATAGGGCAGGGCCATAAAACATCTAGAATTTATCCTAAAGTCAATAAGAAGACATTAAAGAGTGAATGATGAAGCAGAAGAATGTGTTCAGATTTATGTATAAGACAACTTGTATTCCAGACTAGAGAATGAATTGGGAAAGCAGTAATAGTAATTGGGAGAGATGATGTTGGCCTCCAATAAAGTAGAAGTAGTAGGGACAGAGAAAAATGGACAGATTTGAGAGATGTTAAGAAGGTAGGATCAATAAGATTTAGTGATTGATTGTTATAGTAAGAATGATGGAGTGATCAAAAAATGACTCAGATTTTTAACTTGGACACCTTAAGTAAGTGAGATCAAAGATTGGAAGTAGGCTTCGAAAAGTAGGTGATGAATTCCAATTTGGATACACTGCATTTGAGTTTTCCTTGGAAAATCCATGTGGAGACTTTTAATAGGCAATTGGGTAGACACATGGCTAGGAATTCTGAAGGCAGATCTAGATTTTGATCATATAAATGTGGGAGTTTTTTCTGGGTGTGGTGGCTCATCCCTGTAATCCCAGCAGCTCTGGAAGCTAAGGCTTGAAGATCGTGAGTTCAAAGCCAGCTTTAACAAAAGCAAGGCACTAAGCAACTCAGTGAGACTCTGTCTCTAAATAAATTACAAAATTGGGCTGGGGGGCTGGGATTGAGTGTCCCTCATTTTAATTCCCAGTACCCACCACCACCACTCCAAAAAAAGTGGGAATCTTGTGAGT